ATTAATTGTATTTATGCTTAGATGGCTCCACAATAGTCACCAAAAAGTTAATTACTAAACCTATCTATCTTACCAGTTTACCATTTTGTATTTTTTTTCTATTTGTATTGCTATTAGTATTGTTAACAACATTGTCATCATTATAATTTCTGTAATAACAATAGCATTGATATTAATAGCATTAGAAAAAAAAATGAAAACTCGAGGTTCAATAATTGACTGCTTAGTTGGTTTGCACTTGTGAAGCCATCTACGTGTAAATACACTTCACAAACGATACCACAGTGAGGCATCTCATGTTCTTTGCAGCATTGGGTTAATTGTATATTTCTCAGGTTAAGAAATGCTACTCAGATACTCTGCTCTGATTCTTAACTAGTTGCCATTTTGTAAATTGATTTAATATGGCACTTAGATAAGGCAAAGTCTGACTTTAGGAGAAAGAAAAAGAACTGTATAGTATTAATGTTAGACTTAATCCCTATAGCCAGTGGGCTGTTTGTTGCTTTACCAGTGGGAGTTGATGGACCACAAAATTTGCCTTTTTCATATCTCACTTGTAAAACAAAGGAAGGGTGATTACAATTCCTCTAATTTAAACTGCCAAATAAGTATTTTGTTTATTGGGACATTATTTTACACAGTATAGTGTAATAATTTTGATGCATGTTCTTCCTGGACATGAGACACCTCTCATATGCTTTGTTTGTTCACAATGATAGATGAATATCAAACAGCCAATTTCTGGTTTGATGTGACCATCTCCTATGCTGGACTGGGCTCTATGGCTTGATGACAGTATGCTCTAAGGGAGAACATGTATAGACACTTCTTTCAATTCCATTTTTTTTTTTTTTTTTTTTTTTTTTAATGTTAGTCTGGCTTGTCCTGTAGTGGGAACAACTTGAGTTGGCCTATCTGTTAAAAGGCATCACAGGTTCAGAATAAGTTATATGTTTATAACATTGAATTTTCCATTAGGGTAAAAGGTTTTGGATACAAGTAACAAACCTTTTAATTGAAGAAAACTCCCTCAAGCTAAATTTTATGGGAAATCTCAGAATTCATAGACTATAAAAGGGATATCACATGTTTTCAATGGCTCTCAAATTGTGGGTTGGCTCAGAGTGAGAGGCCTAGCCAACATCTGGGGGAAACAAAATTAGCAGTGGGGAAGAGCCTGTGATGCGATGGAAAGGAGCTCTTTGACAAAATGATGCAGCAGTTGCATTATATGTTTTTGTTCAAATTTGCTATGGAAAACCTCTTCATGTATGCTTGGTTGTCATCCCATTATTACTTGCCAAACCCTGTGTTTTTTGGTACTGTTGCCTTTAAAATGAAAGATTCCGCATTTACCAGCCTCAAGCAAAAAAAAAATATATGTATAGATAGAAGAGTTTTAGTTGTCTCATTTGTAGATTGCACTACAAAGCAAAATTTACACAAGCACAAGAAAGCACAGGTTAAGGAAAAGACACTAAAATACAGCATAAGAAATTGCACATGGAAAATAGTAGGATTGACAGTGACTGTTGTTTGGTTTTGATTAAAATTTGTTCAGATATGAATCATGATTCTGAACTATTACTAGGCTTGTAACTAGATTTTTGTCAATAAGGAGAGGTAGAGCTTTAGATTCAAGGGATCTTCAGGAGTAAATAGTCAAGAACTGCCCTGATTACAAGTAAATATCATGATGAAAGATGTGAATCCCCTCATAGATACATAGACACAATACATATCATCTGTTGCTTGATTGTCCTTCTCCACTTACTTCTGTCAGGTTCACAGCTACCATTCCTGAATTCGACCCTATGTGGCATTTCTCATTGGCTGGATAGTTATTAGGGCATGGAGCTTCACCTAATTAAACAACCATATACAGTAGTTGCATAGGCTAGGGAACCTTTAGAAAGTCCTTTCAATTTAATTTTTTTCTGTAGGTAGAGGCTGTTAAATGTTTGGAAATAAAAGGCAAAAATTGTAGGAAAAAAATTGATTATAATGGATGGTTTCATTATCATGCCTGGTTGGAAAAATCACAAATATGTGTGTGTGTATATATATATAATATATATATATATTATATATATATATATATATATATATATATATATATTATATATATATATATATATAGATATAGATTGATAGATATATATGTATATATATATATATATATATATATATATATATATATTATATATATATATATATATATATATATATATATGTGTGTGTGTGTGTGTGTGTGTGTCTGTGTGTCTGTGTATATATATGTATATATATATATATATATATATATATATATATATATATATATATATATATATATATATATATATATATATATAATATATAATATATACACACATATATATATGTGTGTGTGTGTGTGTGTTATGTATGTATGTATGTATATGCATGAATATATATATATATATATATATATATATATATATATATATATATATATATATACATTTATATATACATACATATATACAAGAGCTTTGTATAATTAATCTGACATTTTAAGTAACATTTGATTTGTAGAGAAGCAGCATAGGGAAAAAATCATCTCTAATTGTGACAGTAACTTGGAAGTAGCTTGTTATAACTACTACCTCTCCCTTCCGCCTTCCTTTGACCCT